TTGGGTGAACTTTGGATGCTGAAAATGCAATTTACCCAACCACTACTATAGATTTTCCTGTTCTTAGGTATGTCTGTTTTCTTTAATTTTGATCAATTTACTTTAGGTGGCACTAAGTAAATGGCCAAGGAAAGTGCATCCAAAGGAGGGAAAAAAGAATACTCTTATAGAAGATCCACCTTAGGCTTCCTTCTCATTTATTGGTTTGTCGGTTGACAATGAGACACAAAACCTTGAGAAAATAGAGAATCAATTTATGACGTCTCTAATCCATGTACAGCCTGTATTGTTCAGCTAACAAACTGTTGAATATATTGTAAACTAGGTTGTGGTTTGTTTCTATAAATTGCCCTGCAGTTAGTATCAGTAGGTTGGGGTGTCCTACCGAGGATGATGTTGGTGCATCCATATCAGAATGCTTGATCGAGAAATATAATTTTTATGCTATCGCATCCTTGTAAAACAACTTACTTGTGCTTTTTCTGTGGAGATCTTGTACTTCTTCCATGGAGATCAGCAATTATGACATGAAGCAGCTGCTTTTGGAAATGATACATTTAGCTTCTCCGTACTGTAATAACTATGAGAATCGGCTATTGAGTTTGTAGCTGTGCTTGATTCTTTGTCTTTCTTTCTTTTGTTGAACAATTTATGTGCAATTGTTTAGCCCTGGGAGAAGGGTGTATATCCATCAGAGTTCATAAGCAGAGACAAGATTTCGTTTCTGATTTCAAAAGCTGACGAGTTGCTGCAGTTAAGATTTGTTTCTTATCACTAAGACCATATAAGCTTAGTGCTTACCGATGCACAAAAACTGCGTTTTTCATTATGCCAGCAGATTGTGCTCTGTAAAGAGAGTAGTTTTCATTTGGCTTTATGATTTTAAGTGACCTGGTTGCTTTACTTCATGTCACCAACACTGGAGACTAGATGCAGGACTTCATAACTCATCATTATAATTCCAAGTGTTGAGGAGAAAAAATGTTGCTTAATTCGTTTGAAAAATAGATAAGGAGATGCATATAGTGCGTCGATTGGAATGGCAATGAACAAGGTTTTCAAAACTACGGTGGTATCAATTGGAATGGCAATGAACAAGGTTTTCAAAACTACGGTGGTAATCGAACCGGTCAAGCTATTAGTTCATTTGTTGACTGGTCGGGCCAATGTATGAACGGGTTGAATCGGTTTGTAATTTAGTAATATTTTAATATGTATATATAAAATATTATTATATATAAGTATATTTAATTAGATATTTTAACAACTTAAAACATTCAAATACTTAAACTAACTTATTCGAAA